GCGGCAGCACGATGACGGAGCCCGGCCTGACACGAGCGGCAGGCTGCTTCGGCGGGGTGTGCTCACGGCAGACGGCGTGGCAAGCGGGCTGGAGGTCCCCGAGCTGCAGCCCTGCTGGGCAGTGACTTCGCATTCTGAGGATTAGCTGGTGAACGTTAAAACTTTAGGGGGGGGGGAAGGGACGGCAGAGCTGCTGGGGGCGTTTCTGCACTGCGAAGAAGAACATCACATGCTTCGGCACATCTCATTTTTTCTGCTCAGGTTTCAGCGTCAGGCCGTGGCAGCGGCGTCCACACACGGCAGGCCAGGAGGGAGGCACCGGCAGCATCTGATGGACCTGCTAAGCAGAGGGCCCGGCCTCTTCCCAAGACCCTTTTGCCTTTCCACGGCCACTCCTCTCTTATCACAGATCTCTGTGCGCTTCTGCAAGTAGTAAATGTGCCTGCATGCAGTCCTGGATGCCTGGAAATTCATTCCCCAGGGCAAATCGAGGAAGAAAGTCCCAGGCGACAGCATCTGGCTGCATTTGGGTGCTGCAGAAGCGGCCTCTCCCTTGGCAAGGGTGCGGTGACGTCCCCACCAGAGGTGCCCTGCAGGGAGGGCAGTGGCATGACGCAGACCGTGTCCCCGATAGCACGGGGCAGGAGAGGCTGAGCACTTCTCTGCTGCATGGGGCGATACCTCCAGTGACTGCTGCCTCGCCGGGACACCTACTACTGCAAAACAACCATGCCGAGGAGACGAGCATGACCAGACACGCCACCACCCATCGCTCTGCTGAAGGTCCCAGCCCACGGGAGGCTGGGCTGAGCCCACGGATCCCCATAACATGGCCCCGGGGCAGCAAAGAGAGGGCACCCACAGCACCTTCCGCTGCAGGATTGTCCTGGTCAAGGTGGCAGGGACGTGGCTGCGTTACGGAGGCAGCACCCCGCAAACCGGCCGGGGCGAGGGCCGTATCTGGGACAGGAAGGGCCACACCTGGAGCACGCAAACACTCTGCCCAGGAGGAGGAGGAGGAGCGGCCAGCG